ACCGGTTCTCCATCCAATCGTCTGGCTGAACCAGTGAAGGGACTGAACTTTTCTATCTTTTCTGGTGTCTCTTGTTCATCTTCTTCAACTTCTTGTGGTCTCTTTGTTGGCAGAGTGGATGGTGCTGGCTTCTTTTCAGGCTCCACATAATCAAGAGGAGGGGAAAAATCAACCTCGCAGTCGGTATCAACTATACAGATTGCAGAGGCGGGCTTTGTTTCAATTATGTTGATGTAATACTTCTTGCTGTTATAAGGAAGCATGATAGTGTCACCAATGGTTAAACAAGAGTAGCTCCTCAACGCCGTCTCCAGAGCGGCTTTAGGGTTTGAGATATCAAGAAAGTCCTTGGTGTGAGGTTGCAGTTTGACATATGTTCCCTTCCCAAGGCTTTGGCTTTGACATGAACAAGGTTACCCTCTTGTAAAAGCAGGTTGTGCATCATCCAAGATGGTAAAAATACAAAGCCCTCATCAGCAACAAATTCCAAGACCCCGCAATGAGTAACTCGTCCAGATTCAGAATTGGGATTGTTGAGCTGAAACAGCATAGGGTAGGCCACCTGTGGACCCCAAACAAGGCGATGGAGAGCCGACAGCGGCATTATAATTTTATCACCGTTTTCCGCATGTGGCTTGCCAATTGAGGAGACAGAGTAACAACGATAAAACTGCTCGAAGTCCATCTTCAACAAGTTTGCTTGCACTGTCAAAAAGAAGACGAAGATTAGTGATATTGATGGATCGTCTTTGATTGAGGTAAACTCTACTGGGTTTCTTTTCTTGCTATGCCAAGTGTGAGAACAAGTGGACTTGTATTTATAAACAATTCAGACCAATTCCTGTCCTTTCAGAATAAGGAAATCCTAATCTCACTGGGACAAACCTGAAATTGAAAATAAAATACATAGAACGAAACTAAAAACGAATCCTAATCTCATTAAACTCGCACGTAACCATAGCCGTTCATAATCCTTTACTTGTTAGCCAAGCATTGGATTATAGCCGTTCATAAGCCTTGAGGATTTTGCCCAATCTGATAAGTAGCTACTCAACGGTGTGATAGTAATTGATGCGGGGTGTGAAAACAAATGCGCTTTTCTATATTTTATAATTTATAGAGATTTCCAGTCCTTTTTGTTTCGGTCTGACCAAACATAGTCCTTTAAGCACAAGGAAATCCAATTTATATTAGGGGATTCTCTATTTTTATTTTTATTCAATAATAATAAAACAAAGTAGAAGCCAACGAGGTCTAGCCAAGTGGAAAAGGGCATTTACTTGCTAACTAGTAGTCTCAGGTTTGAACTCTCATAACACCTTGGTACGTAGTGTGTGTGTGTGAGAGAGAGAAACTTTCTTCTCCTTGTAGTTAGGGCCAGTCAATGGGCCAGGCCAACTTGGTCCAAAATTTATTGGGCTTGGGCCAAGCTGGGAGGGATTTAATCAAGAGATAAAATAACATGCCAGACCGAGCTGGGCTTAGACTATCACTTATATTAAAAACAAAAAACAAAAACAAAGTAGGACACTGAGGGGCCTAAGTAATCAAATCAATCAGTCAAGGCCCAAACTAATTTAGTGGGCTTCCTCTAGGTGAGTGGTGAGTGGTGACTTTTTTGAGTCAACAAACTTCATACAATATGAAAATAATTTTTCTGATTTCTTTTGGGGTAAATAACTAACTTCATACAGTTTGCACCTGCACGTGCGAACGTGATAATATCTAATTAATATCTAAAGAAATTTGTGATTTTATTAAGTTATCAGCAAGGTCCTTGACGCTTGGTTTTTGACTCAAAAGCTCACATGATACACAAAGTTTGAGTAGAAGAAGAGAGGCCAAGATTGGTCAACAAAAAACTTGCATTTCCTTTTTCCAGCATCTTGGTTGTTAGCCCTGCACTGCATCTGGATGCATACTGCTTTTCACTATCAGCTTTTAGAAATAATGCAGTCCATATATTTGACAGACTACAAATTTCCACGAAAACCCATTGATTTGATATCATGACTCAACTTTTCTCCAAAGTTCAAAGCCACATGAATTGAAATTTTGTGCATCTTCTGGAACTGAAACAAACAAACGTGAGTGTGTTAGGACAACAACCCACCCACCTAGGTCCTTGCTTGTTTTCCAATTAGTGCCATTTCGTCACACCTCTGCAACTTTTCTTTCCTTTGGAATTTTATTTTTCATTTTTCTCCCTCCCCTATCTGTATCAGTGGAAAACCAGACGTGCTGTCGTTATTCTTCCTACCCTTCGTAATGTTTGGATTGAAAATAATAATTTGGGATCAAAGTCTCCCATTAAAAATTAAAAAGCAATAAATCAAGTCTTCATTCAACAATGGCGTTCTCTGTTCACACGTGACATTCCAGGAAGGAACTTTCAATGCCGTCTTGCCTTTCACGTACGTCACGTTTGGCTTTCAGCCTGCCTTGTTTTATTCGGAAACTTGCCTTATCTTCTGCAGATGCAGACATTTGTGGCTTTAACAATATAATTTCTTGCAGTTTAAAACTTTGGCAAGGAAGGAAGGAGAGGATCTTAGCTGCCATAACCATAACATATATAGAATGTCAACTGGTATCAAGTAGCTCTTGGTCTAGTGCTACTTCTCTTCCCCACGTTGGATGAGGTACCAAGTTCGAAACCCCTCGAACCCCCATTTGATCAAAACAAAACAAAAAGTCAACTGGTTGGGCTAACTGATAAGCACAATCCAGGTCCTCCACTCAAATTACCATCATTTTCCAGGTCCTCCACTAATTGGTGGTAGACTAAATGGTATCCGTTGACCATCATTTTCCAGGTTCTCCACTGAAATTGACAAAAGCTTGCATTTGTTTGTGGCCCTGCAAATGGTTTCAAGTTCCCACTTTCCAACTTGGTGGTTTTCTTTCCTCCTATAAGGAAATCAACTTCCCCTGACTTACTTGTCTTGTCCTCAAAACCAGAGTTCATGCCGCGGGAACAAACCAACTTCTAAACCTCCATCACCAAATGACTAAACCAACCCCAACATCTTCTCTCCACACCCATCTCTGCTTCCTTCTCTTCCTCCCCCTCCTCCTCATCAGCCATGCCAACTCTCAGTCATTGCAAGACCAAGAACAAGCTGTTCTGCTAAAACTAAAGTCATACTTGCAATCTCCACCGTTCCTTAGTCATTGGATTCCATCAACATCAAACACTTCCCACTGTTCCTGGCGGCCTGAGATCACCTGCACAAACAACTCCGTCACCGGATTGTCTCTGGTCAACACGAACATCACCCTACCAGTTCCACCTTTCATTTGTAATCTCAAGAACCTCACTCTCATTGATCTCAGCTACAACAACTTCGCTGGAGAGTTCCCAAAAGCTTTCTACAACTGTTCAAAGCTACAGTACTTGAACCTCTCTCAAAACTCCTTTGATGGCAAGATTCCTGAAGATATCGACAGCTTGCCTCTGCTTCAACACCTTGACCTTGGCGCTAACTACTTTTCGGGTGACATACCGGCGGCTATTGGGCTGTTACAAGAGCTCAGGAACCTGCAGCTGTATATGAACAACTTTAATGGTTCCGTGCCACCAGAAATAGGTAACTTGTCCAATCTTAAAAACCTAAGTCTCTCTTTCAATACAGAACTTGTGCCATGGAATCTGCCTTCCAATTTCACCAAGTTGAAAAACTTGAAGAATTTATATATACGCGGATCGAATCTGAATGGAGAACTCCCCGGAACACTTGGAGAAATGGCAGCACTGGAACATTTGGATTTGGCATACAACAGTTTAAATGGGACAATCCCGAGTGGTTTGTTCCTGTTGAAGAATTTGAGTATAATCTACCTCTTCAACAACAGCCTGTCTGGGAATGTACCTCAAGTGGTTGAAGCATTGAACTTGAGTATTATTGATATTTCTGGCAACGATTTAACAGGGCCAATACCAAAAGATTATGGAAACCTTACCAAGTTAACAGAGTTAGCTTTGTTTATAAATGGTTTTTCTGATGCGGTTCCAGCAAGCATTGGCCGTCTACCAAATCTCAAACAGTTCAGAGCGTTCATTAATAATTTGTCTGGAACATTGCCTCCAGACTTTGGAAGGTATTCAAAGCTTGAAGGGTTCGAGGTTTCGGAGAATAGGCTCACTGGCAAACTGCCAGACCATTTGTGCTATTGGGGTAAGCTGTCAACACTTGTAGCTTATGAGAACAGTCTCACTGGGGAGTTACCAAGTTCTCTTGGAAATTGCACTAGTTTAACAAGAGTGAAGGTTTCTGATAATGGATTGTCTGGGAACATTCCTAGTGGCATGTGGACAGCACCAAACTTGGATCAGGTGCTGATGAGCAACAACTTTCTTACCGGTGAGCTTCCTGAAAAACTATCTCCGAATCTTACACGGCTGGAAATCAGAAATAACAGATTTTCAGGTAACATTCCAACCGGGGTGTCATCCTGGAACTTGAAGGTTTTTGACGCCGGTAATAACCTTTTTAACGGTACTATCCCTCAGGAACTCACTGCTCTTCCTAGCTTAATCAGTCTTTCTCTTGAGCAGAATCAGCTTACTGGCTTCCTTCCATCAGAGATTATATCATGGAACTCACTCAACACTCTTAATTTCAGTCGAAATCAACTCTCTGGACCAATTCCAGCGGGACTTGGTCTTCTACCAGTCCTTACTGCACTGGACCTTTCAGAAAACCAACTTTCTGGCCAAATTCCAGCTCAACTTGGGAATCTGAAGCTCAGCAACTTCAATCTCTCTTCCAATCACCTATCTGGTAAGATCCCAATTGAATTTGAAAATTCTGCTTATAACGGAAGCTTCTTGGACAATCAAGGTCTCTGTGCAACTAGCCCCTCAGCAAAACTCAGCATATGTAATTCTCAACCTCGAAAGTCCAGCAAAATTTCGTCTACATATCTTGCATTGATCTTAACTTTCGGCATACTTTTGTCCTTGTTGGCTTTGTCCTTATCATTCTTCATGGTCAGAGCTTATTGGAAGAGAAACAGATCGGATTCTGATTGGAAGCTCACCGCATTTCAGAGGTTGAATTTCAGAGTGTCAAAAATTCTCACAGGATTGACGGAAAGTAATTTGATTGGAAGTGGCGGATCAGGAAAAGTTTATTGTGTTCCTATCAATCGTACAGGCGATGTTGTTGCCGTGAAAAAGATTTGGAAAGATAAGAAGTTAGAAGAGAGGCTTGAAAAAGAATTTCTTGCAGAAGTCAAGATATTGGGTTTCATTCGACATGCCAACATAGTGAAGCTGATGTGCTGTATATCCAAGGACAATTCAAAACTACTTGTCTATGAGTACTCGGAGAATCGAAGCCTGGATCGATGGCTGCACAAGAGAAACAGGCCATCCAATCTCTCCAGGTCAGTCCACCATGTTGTGCTGGACTGGCCTAAGAGGTTGCATATTGCAGTGGGGGCAGCTCAGGGCCTCCGCTATATGCATCATGACTGTGTGCCACCCGTTGTGCATCGAGACGTGAAATCGAGTAACATCTTGTTAGACACTGATTTTAATGCAAAAATAGCAGATTTTGGTCTAGCCAAGATGTTGGTCAAGCAAGGAGAACTTGCTACAATGTCGGCTGTTGCTGGCTCCTTTGGCTACATTGCTCCAGGTAAACCTTACACCCTACAAATGTTAAAAGTTCAATCCTAAAGAAAGTTGTGTTATTTTTCCTCTGTTTCTATTAGCAATCTCACAGGTTTTATTTTATTTTATTTTATTTTCACTTGAATGCAGAATGTGCTCATACAATACGAGTGAATGAGAAGATTGATGTATACAGTTTTGGGGTCGTCCTTCTGGAGTTGACCACCGGAAGGGAAGCTAATGATGGTGACGAACACACTGCTCTTGCCGAATGGGCATGGCACCATGTTCAAGAAGACAACCCTCTTGCCGATGCTTTGGACAAGGACATCAACGAACCTTGCTACTTGGATGAAATGTGCTCCGTTTTCAGACTTGGCATCTATTGCACCGAGAAACTTCCTTCTGCTAGGCCTTCCATGAAGGAGGTTCTGCAAATCTTGCTCCGATGCGGCCGTCCAGGAGTTCACAGAGAAAAGACTGATTATGTTGGTGCTCCTCTGCTCAAGAATTCGAAGCGCGAGCATGAATACGGTGATGGTAGTTTGGTAACAAATGTTTGATCGGCTTGGTTGAGTTCAACAAGAGGAATTAGAAGTAAAATTTGTTTAGTTTTTCAATTATACCCAACTGTTAATTGTTACCCAAGCTTTCAACCATAGCCGTTCATAATCCTTTACTTGTAACCAGTGTTTTCAAAGGCATGCCTTCGCGCGCGACAGAGCGCTCGTCGGCGCGCGTCGGAGCGCTCGTCGGCGCGAGGCGGCAGGAAATTGCCCGAGGCGGTCTGCTGTTTCGCTAGTTGCACGTTTAGCGCGAGGAAGGCGCGAGGAGGCGTTGCAAGGCGTGGCCAGGCGGAGCAAGGCGTGCAGATCTGGACATTTCTGAACCGGAAGAAATTTTGGGAGTTTGCAAATTGGCTACGACTCTGCGAGGAAGACGACTCGCGTGTTTTTTTCCTTTAGGTTTATTATAATGAAACGATGTCGTTTCGATTGCAGTGTTTTAAAAACAAACTTAAAGTGAAACGACGTCGTTTCATTTGGAATGTTTTGAAAGAAAAAAGACGCAAGTTTCTGTTTTTTTTTCCTTACCTTTATTGTAATAAACTTAAGGCAAGAAGAATTAATATCTTTCTTGCCCTTTCTAACTCCAGCCGGCTGTGGCTTTTTACTTACCTTTTTTTTTTTTTTTTTTTTTCCCTATAAAAAAATAAAAAAAAATATAAACTTATACATCATATATATATATATATATATATATATAGTACAACCCTAATTTCCACCCTTACCAAATAATCTCCATCAATTTGAAGAATTATCTTCATCTTTCGAATGCAAGTAAGTCATTTTATTTTGATATTCATGTTGAGGAGTGGGATGAGTGAATTATGTTTTTATTTTGATGTTGAATAAATATTTTATGTTTTGGGATTGATTATTATGCTTTGAATGACAATTAGTACTTATATTTGATTATATTTAAAAGATTGTTATGGTTAATATTTTGGAAGAATTTTCATATTTTGAATTATATTCCCAATATAGGACTTTCGACTTCCTCTGAAGCAAAACATAATCAAATGGACGAATTTTGGAGTAATTCTAGTTGGAGGACTTACGTGAGTCACTTAGCTTGATCGTATCAAAATTTCAGATTTTTCTACCAAGCGGTTATTTTCTGGCAATAAAATAAAGGCGTAGTGCGCGGTGCCGAAATAGTGACGTTTTGGGCTTTTATTGCGTTTTTAGAGCCCAAGATGACCTCGGATGGGTTCGTGGCCTTCTAGAAAAGTGTTCAGAATAATTTTATCTTTAAAACAGGCTATCTTAGGCCAGATTTGGAGGAGATTTGAGGTCAAAACGTGACTGGCCAGATTTTGGGCAGATTTTCCTAATCCAATTTGGACTTTATTTCCTAGTATTGTTTTATTTTAATTAGTTTCCTTGTGGGGATAGAAAAGTTGTACATTGGCAGCTAGGTTTTAAGGGGGTATTTAAGCTCTTTCTCATGGGAATTTTGGGGACTTCCTTTTTACTTTTTAACTTTGCATTGTGGAGAGCAATTGCTAGAGTTTTGAGTTTTCGCAACTTTCAGGTGTTGTCATTCTTTTCTTCTTAATGATATTTTCTTGGATTTCAATTATGAATATGAGTAACTAATCCTCTTTTGCTAGGGTGAAGTCTTGAACCTTAGCATGAATATGTGATTTTTATTTAGTTGTTTTATGATTGAGTGCATGCATACTTTGAATTGTTAATCACTGTTTTAAACTATCTAATTGTCTTAATGCCTTATCAAGATTAGGATCTTTAGAAAAGTAATTGGATGCAATTTTGGTCGGAAGGTTCCTTGAAATTGACGCTGGCTTCTTGTGGTTAATAACTGTAATTTCACTTAAGATGAACATCACGTCTTCAGGATTGCATGGTTTTTCAAAGGGTTTTCACAAAACTTAATGAGTTTTTTATGTTCAAATTTGATCCGAACGTCCGGGCGGGTTGCATGTTGGATATACATTCTATGTTGGAGGTTCCAAGTAGAATATAAATTAGGAAAACCTAACCTTCAAAGTGGCACGTGCAAATCATAAGTAATTTGTAAAAATGCATAGGATTGCTAGGTGATGGTGAATCCCTAGTGCTTTTATAAATTGGTATTTAAACTTCTTTCCTTCAATCATATTTGTTTTTGTTTAAAGTTTGTTTTTAGTATCACACAAGTTCTTATTCATCTTTCTCTACTTTCAATTTTAGGTAGTAAATTGGAAATTGTTTATACATAAAGTGCTAAATAGTCCTTGAGGAGAACGACCTTGCATGAGCATCTATACTACAATAGCCTTGTATTCTTGCAAGTATTTTATGTGATTTTAACCCTATTTGCACAAGTACTAAATATCCTATCACATAGCGCTACTAAAAACGCTTGCCTATACTCCTCAACTTTGAAAACATTGCTTGTAACTTCTCAAGGTAATGGCCATCTTGTTCTGCTAGGACTGGCCCCTCGTAGCATAAAAACTTTCAAGGTAATACTGTTTTGTTATTCCCTTTTTTAGATGAGGGGTATGCCTTGTATGCTTTTTCCCTTTGAATACTCCAAAGCTACACTAATTTTTATACAATTGATAGTCTAAATTACTTCTAAATTATTCTAACATATGAAAATGAGGATTTAACTTGAGCGTAAGGAGAGAATGACGCACTACTCCGGCATACCTAGAACTATACTATTATACAAAAGGAAGCTCAAGCCTCAAAGCCTCTTTCTAACAATTAGTTTTTGGTTTTGTGCCAGTGGGCTTCTTTTTGGTGATTCACATCACATGTCCTCAAAGCAAGTGGTGACTGGTGAGTCAACAAACTTCATAAAGGTTTTTTTGGGGGGTAAATAACAAACTTCATACACTTGGGTGGTTTATTAAGTTATCAGCATGGTCCTTGAAGCTTGGTTATTGACTCACAGGTAAACAAGTGACATATAAAGTTTCAGTTTCTACAAACAATGGAATCCATATATTTTGATAGACTTATAAACTACCATGGGGTTTATTACATCAGAGATTCTATTTACACCAACAGCCCACATGAACTGAAATTTTGTGCATCATCTTCTATGACAAAGAAAAGTGAAGTGTCAGGAGAACAACCCACCAATGCTATGCCCCTTGTTTTCCATTCAAAGGCATTTTGTCACAATCTGCAATTCTTCCTTCGGTTTGAATTTTGCTTTCTGTTTTTTTTTCCTTTCCTGTCTATATCAGTGAAAAACCAGACGTACCTGCCATTACTCTTACCATTCATAATTTTCGAGTGAACATCTGGACCAAAACTCTATACTTTTGTTGGGTCAAAGTCTCCATTAAACAAAGGCGTTCTTTGTTCACACTTCACAATTTTCCATTGGCCTCCTTCCGGGAAGCTTCAATTGAAGTTCTGCCTCCTCATCCTTCACGCGCAACCATTCAATACAGTTTTCTCTTATCCGGACATCCACGCATTATGTATACATAATGTCAACTAACTGGGTTCCTGGTCTTCAACTCAGATCCTTGACTTATTAAAATAAGAAAATAAAGCAAACAAAAATTTTGGAAATGAAATGCATATATAATTTGCTTCTTGTAAATCGGAAAAATGGAATATAATAAGTTAACCACACCTTTTTCCTCCACAAACTGGTGGTAGAGTCTTGGTCTCCTCCATTGACAGCACCTTTTTCACGGTCCACCATTGACCCAGCAAATGACTTTGAAGTCTCCAGTTTTTCGACATCCTTAAAGGAAATGAGCATCCTCTAATTAACTTGTCCTCAAAACCAGAGTGTTCAAACCGCGGGAACAGACCAACTTATGAACCTCCATCACAAAATGACTAAACTCACCCAAACATCTTCTCTCCACACCCATCTCTGCTTCCTTCTCTTCCTCCCCCTCCTCCTCATCAGCCATGCCAACTCTCAGTCATTGCAAGACCAAGAACAAGCTGTCCTTCTAAAACTAAAATCATACTTGCAATCTCCACCGTTCCTCAGCCATTGGATTCCATCAACATCAAACACTTCCCACTGTTCCTGGCGGCCTGAGATCACCTGCACAAACAACTCCGTCACCGGATTGTCTCTGGTCGACACGAACATCACCCTATCAGTTCCACCTTTCATTTGTGATCTCAAGAACCTCACACTCGTTGATCTCAGCTACAACTACTTTCCTGGAGAGTTCCCAAAAGCTCTCTACAACTGTTCAAAGCTAGAGTACTTGGACCTCTCTCAAAACTACTTTGTTGGCAAGATTCCTGACGATATCGACAGCCTGCCTCGGCTTCAATACCTTAGCCTTGCCGGTAACAACTTTTCTGGTGATATACCAGCGGCCATTGGGCGGTTACATGAGCTCAGGAACCTGCAGCTGTTTATGAACGAGTTTAATGGCTCCGTCCCACCAGAAATAGGTAACTTGTCCAATCTTAAAGACCTAAATCTCTCTAGCAATATAAAACTTGTGCCATGGAACATGCCTTCAAATTTCACCCAGTTGAAAAATTTGAAGACTTTGTGGATACGAGAATCAAATTTGATCGGACAGCTCCCTAGAACACTCGGGGAAATGGCAGCACTGGAAGAATTGGATTTGGCAAAGAACCGTTTGAATGGGGCAATCCCAAGTGGTTTGTTTCTGTTGAAGAATTTGAGTATAATCTATCTCTTCAAGAACCGCCTGTCTGGGGATATACCTCAAGTGGTTGAAGCATTGAACTTGAAAGTTATTGATCTTTCTGACAACCGTTTAACAGGGCTAATACCAGAAGATTATGGAAAGCTTACCAAGTTAACAGGGTTAGCTTTGTTTTATAATGGTTTTACTGATGAGATTCCAGCAAGCATTGGCCGTCTACCAAATCTCATAGATTTCAAAGTGTACGACAATAACTTGACAGGAACATTGCCTCCGGACTTTGGGAGGTATTCAGAGCTTGAAGGGTTCGAGGTTTCGGGAAATAGGCTCACTGGTAAACTGCCAGACCATTTGTGTTATTTGGGTAAGCTGGTAGGACTTGTAGCTCATGAGAATAATCTCACTGGGGAGTTACCAAGCTCTCTTGGAAATTGCACTAGTTTGGTGATAGTCAAGGTTTATGATAATGGGTTGTCTGGGAACATTCCTAGTGGCATGTGGACAGCAACAAACTTGAGTCAGGTACTAATGAACAAGAATTCTTTTACCGGTGAGCTTCCTGAGAAAATGTCTTGGAATCTTTCGCGGCTGGAAATCAGAGATAACAGGTTTTCAGGTAAGATTCCAACCGGGGTGTCTTCCTGGACGAATTTGAAGGTTTTTGACGCCGGTAATAACCTTTTTAACGGTACTATCCCTCAGGAACTTACTGCTCTTCCTAGCTTAATCACTCTTTCTCTTGATCAGAATCAGCTTACTGGCTTCCTTCCATCAGAGATTATATCATGGAAATCACTCAACACTCTTAATTTCAGTGGAAATCAACTCTCTGGACCAATTCCAGAGAAACTTGGTCTTCTACCAGTCCTTACTGAACTGGATCTTTCAGAAAACCAACTTTCTGGCCAAATTCCAGCTCTGCTTGGGCGTCTGAAGCTCAACCATTTCAATCTCTCTTCCAATCACCTATCTGGGAAGATCCCATTTGAATTTGAAAATCCTGCTTATGACAGAAGCTTCTTGGACAATCAAGGTCTATGTGCAATTAGCTTATCAGAAAAACTCAGCATATGCAATTCTGAACCCCGGAAGTCCAGCAAAATTTTGTCTAAGTATCTTGTATTGATCATAACTTTCGGCATACTTTTGTCCTTCTTGGCTTTGTCCTTATCATTCTTCATGGTCAGAGGTTATTGGAAGAGAAACGGATCAGATTCTTATTGGCAGCTCACCTCATTTCAGAGGTTGAATTTCACAGTGTCAAAAATTCTCTCAGGATTGACAGAAAGTAATTTTATTGGAAGTGGCGGATCAGGGAAAGTTTATTGTGTTCCTGTCAATTGTACAGGCGATGTTGTTGCCGTGAAAAATATTTGGAAAGATAAGAAGTTAGAAGAGAAGCTTGAAAAAGAATTTCTTGCAGAAGTCAAGATATTGAGTTCCATTCGACATGCCAACATAGTGAAGCTGATGTGCTGTATATCCAAGGACAATTCAAAACTACTTGTCTATGAGTACTCGGAGAATCGAAGCCTGGATCGATGGCTGCACAAGAGAAACAGGCCATCCAATCTCTCCAGGTCAGTCCACCAGGTTGCGCTGGACTGGCCTAAGAGGTTGCATATTGCAGTGGGGGCTGCTCAGGGCCTCTGCTACATGCATCATGACCGTGTGCCACCGGTTGTGCATCGAGACGTGAAATCAAGTAACATCTTGTTAGACTCTGATTTTAATGCAAAAATAGCAGATTTTGGTCTAGCCAAGATGTTGGTCAAGCAAGGAGAACTTGCTACAATGTCAGCTGTTGCTGGCTCCTTTGGCTACATTGCTCCAGGTAAACCTTACACCCTACAAATGTTGAAGTTAGTTCCAAAAGAAATATGTGTTATTTTTCCTCTCTTTCCATTAGCAATCTCTCTAGTTTTTTTTTTTTTTTTTTTTTTTTTTTTTTTTTTTTTGCACTTGAATGAATGCTCATACAATACGAGTGAATGAGAAGATTGATGTATATAGTTTTGGGGTCGTCCTTCTGGAGTTAACCACCGGTAGGGAAGCTAATGATGGCGACGAACACACTTCTCTTGCTGAATGGGCATGGCGCCTAGCTCAAGAAGACAACCCTCTTGCTGATGCTTTGGACCAGGACATCAAAGAACCTAGTTACTTGGATGAAATGTGCTCCGTTTTCAAACTGGGTATCTACTGCACCGAGAAACTACCATCTGCTAGGCCTTCCATGAAGGATGTTCTGCAAATCTTGCTCCAGTGCAACCATCCGGTAGTTCACATCGAGAAGATCGAGTATGTTGCTGCTCCTCTACTAAAGAATTCGAAGCGCAAGCAGATACTGGAAGACTGTGATGGTGGTTTGGTGACAAATGTGTGATAGACTGGGTTGAATTTAACGAGGTAACCAATAAAGGGGAAATAAGACTTTCGTTTCAGATTGGTCTGAAGCTGATCAAATGTACACCATAGGATCTAGGAGGTGGCACTTAGGATAACGAAGAGTATATTTATGCGGCCAAAGGGAAGATGCATCTATTAGGCCAAACTACCCTGTATATTAGTACCATATGTATAATATTAAGAAGAGGACTCTTAAAATTAGCATACGTGTGATACTGAGTGTCCAAACTTCACAACAATCAGTAGGAACAGTAAGTTCCGAAATGCAAAAACAAGAGAAAATTGTTGCTGATTAAGAATCCTGTTTTATTTGAAAAAAGAGAGTAGAAAATATTCCGCAAAAAGTAAACTACTCACAGTTTACATCCCCCTATTTTATTACGTAATCCAGGAGAAATGAGCTTATGCACTGATAACACAACGCCTACACATCCGTAGAGCAAAACAACAAGGTGCAGCAAGAAAGCTTAGCCAACTGGCTATTATGATCCGAATTCACCAATTACAAGCGTTGAAGGACCATAAATTACGGATGGGATGCAAGATCTCTCGAAATAGGAGCTGAGAACAGCTCCAACTGATCCGAAGCAAATAGTGAAAAGATGGGGAAAATGAAATATACAAAAATTGAGAGTGTCACACTTCATTCATCTACCCTGGTCTTGACCCTTTTATGACTCCTCTACCTCAAGGTACTGGGAGTGAGAGGCTGCCAAGAGGGCAGCTCCAATTCCGGAGCCATCGTTTGAGTGCTCGACGGAAATGTGCTCAGCAACTTCATCACCCAGCAACTCCTTGAGAGTGCTCTCCATGCTGGTTCGGAATTCGGTGTAGTGCTCATACAAACCACCATCCAATGCTACAACCGACTTTTGCTTCTCTCCCTCCTTTACTGTGTCTCTACCTAACTTCTTCAGCACTCCCATGATCCCTGCAGCAGAGAGGCGGGCCCCACGAGTGGCAACTATGTCGCATAGCGCCACAACAACCTTTCTCATTTTCAACGAGGTGTTGGAGATCTACAATTATTGACAAACAAACACCATAGACGCATGTCACCTGTCTTGAGATTGACTTAGAAATTCTAAAGAAAAATAGAAATTCAAGCCGCGCTTTCTAAAAGTGCATGTTTAAGGATGCCGCAAAAAACACATGATTGTACCATGTTCACTCTATGAAAATGTGATTCAATGAAGGATATAATACTTTCAACCTTTTCTTGCTTTTACTTTTCTTACCTCCCTCCCAAAAGAATTATGAAAAGGAAAAGAAAAACTGAAGTACATTGCACAGCTAGATAACAAAATGATGATTTCATCTAATAGTATGAGCAATGTACCTCCAGGATATCCTTTAGTTTGCTCCCAACCACTCTTAGATCTGGAGACGTGTCATGATGCATGGCAGACATGTCAGGAGTCCTGCGCATATTACAACACCACCGTAAAGACTCAGAAAACTCTAAACACTACATAGCAGGCAGTAGAGAACAAGAAGAATAGCTAGAAGGTAAACTCTCAAATACTTACCAGAATCAGATCGATGGGCTAATGGGTAGGATTTAGGTTTTGTATGCAATATTCAATAACCTTTATTAACTTTGCAAGCATGCAACAAAATATTGTACACTCAAGTGACAGTATTTTACAGAAACAAGTCAATTCAAAACATAAAACCAAATTAAATATGAGAACACACAAACACACTTCATGCTAACAATATTTATAAATCAAATGGTCTACAAAAAATATTAGAATATACCTTAGTATGAAGGGAACTTTCAGTTTTGGGGGGACAACATCACCAAAAAAGGAAGCTTCTTCAGCCATCTTGCACAATACTCTGCGAACAATGTCCCCTAAATACATGCCAGAAATGATCTTCTCAAAGATCTGCAAACAAAAATCAATTCCATATTATCACATGTCCATCAAGCCATCCACATATGTAGAAACAAGTAAAGGAAAATGCCGTTACCTGATCTCCAGGATTTAAACTCTCAGCATCAAGTGCTTGATCGTATTCTGTCAGTGGAAGGTGTGATGAGCGAAAGTTACCCCACTCCATGTTGATAACCTATTCATGAAAATAAACAATGAATTAGCAATATTCAACCATAGAACTAAACCTTAGCACCAGACAACAAACCATAGTTCCACAATTTGATAGCAAAATTCATATAATAAAAAAACTAACCATCTCTCCTGATTTAGGTAGAAGACCATGCCATTTTGGAATGGCATGAGCCCGTTCTACATAAGCAGCATTTGTCCCAGTGCCCAATATCACAGCAGCAATGACATCCTGATTGTGGTATCTACCTCCTGCTAATGTACCAATTGTATCATTGACCTGCATCAGCCTGGCAAGTTAGGATTGTCCAAAATGATTTAGCACTAAATCACCAACCCATCAAGACAGATACTATATCAAACCAGGTTTAAATTAGCTAGTCAAAGCATAACAGGAAAACCAGAATTGCTGAAACTAGAAACCAAACTGGACTTACCAAAGCTGTAACACGCATATCAAGGCCAATTTTTTCCACTGATTTGGTCAGCTCTCCCACCACATCTTGCTCAACCTGCACCAATATTAACAAAGGAAACTGTCAAAGGGGGCACCAACGATAAAAGATTAGTCCAGAGCTACTAAATTTTATTATTGGAACAAATCAATTAGGTACTCAAAGGATAGTAAACAAAGTTTTAGGTAGAACATATGTTAAGAAAGCTCCAATACCCACTTTATCAGGCACAGAGTACTCCAGACGTGATCTACTTGACTAACTACAAACAAAAACCAATATAGCAAGAGGTGTCAAAGTACCGCGTCTTCAATATTGAAGCCTTTTGTCCACTTAATAAGGGTTCCTGATGCGATTGATGTTTGCCACACAGGAAATGAAAAGGTAAAACCCAGCTCCCTTTGTCTACCAGGAGCAGGATGAAAACCTTCTCCTTCCGTAGCAACAAATTTTGCAAGTGCTTCAGCAATAAAATCAAATAATGCCTGAAACCAAGTCGTGATAAATTATTACCAAGTAGGAACAAATCTAATCAGGTTTAAAGATTGCCTAAAAAGAAATACTAACTTCTGAAGTCCCAGTCATCAAATTTGGTGGAATTGAAACTTCGTCAAATTCTTGTTTAACAACACGTTTTTCTTTCCCACCAAGCTGTACACGTATGACACGGAAGTTTGTCCCACCAAGGTCCAATGCATAAAACAGCCCTTGCTCATCCCTGAAAAGATAAGGATGAAAGTAATGGGAAAGTACTACACATCCAATAGGCCCCCAATTAGTCAAACATGTAATAAAGGGGGGAAAAGACACGAAATATGGCTCACACATGGTCAGTCACTCAGCTCAATTTATTAACACAAACCATCAATATAATCTACCCAGTATGACACTTCGATATACTCACATAACGCAGCCCACAAACCATGAAGAACATACTAAAGATGGAAACTAATTAGAGAACGATAAAAGCCCCATCATATGCACATATGGGATAAGGAATTTGCAACCTTGTACACCTTACCGCAAATTTTAAAAAACCAAGCCATCATTTCTAGATTTAGATCAAATATAAAGGAATTACTTTGAAGCAAACACTCACATGGGAGCGGCATGTAAATGCACAATTCCTACAATCAATGACCAGAAGCAAAATTGACAACTTCAAATAAATAAAAGAAGAAATAAATAAGAAATAATCGACCAGGCGACAGAGACTGAAAATCAGACTGTGGAACAAATCAAAAACAGCAAAGGTGATATTGGTAAAAACCTAAGATAAGGAGAAATCAGTGAATACATTATACCCAATACAGAAACATAAAACCAAGTTCCACGAAATCGCCAAACAAGCATAACATCAACATAACTAACCCGTATTTATTAATCAAAACAAATAAATGGGTTACGAATTCAAAAATAGAACAGAGAAAAAATCGATCTTTAGTCCTTCTAAAAAGAAATTAACATTAAAGGCTAATAACTCAATCCAAAAACAGACATCGATTGTCACAGTTCAAAATTATCGAACCCAATAAGCCTATTTTATCCAATCCAAAGCTCAAATTACGACTCTTTCAATCCCAATTATTAAAAAAACAAAATAAAGGGCGGGTGAGATAAATTAGAATACCCAGTGGGGAGGTTATCGACGTAGCTGATGAGCATCTTGAGCTTGCTGCCGCCTTCGGATGCGAGGCCAGCGTGCATTTCCACAGTCATGGCGTCAGCCACCTGTCTCAGCTTCCCGATGGGGGTCCCACACTTATCCTCGAACTCCCTCAGTATCGCCATAGCCCGGGCCCACCTCCCCGAGCTCTTCATACGGTGTCGTACAACCAGCGCCGCCGCAGCACACACCGCCGCCGCGCACACCACTGCCGCCCCCACCGCCACCTTCCCCATCACCACCACCACCAAAACCACCGCTCAAATTACCAAATTGGCCTTTGTTTCTCTCTCAAAAGATGAATCTTTGATTGGTCCTGAATTTGAACTCTTCTGAATCCGATTTTCTGGTCAGGAATCGATTGGCTGATTGAAAGACTCGTGCTTGTATGCTTGCATGCGTATTGGGGAAGTGCGACAGCTGGAGAGAGACAGAGACTGAGAAAGTGGAAGAATTTGAGAAGATAAAAAGCCCTAAGCTTTAGATCGGACAGGGGAGGGATACAAATGGAAAATCGCTAATCAAGGAATTCCAGCCTAATTTATGGGAAACTAAGCTGTTTTCTCAGCTTTCTCGGAGAAAAAAGGTAGCGAAAAACGCGAGGCGAGAAGCGAGCGAGTGTGCATGCTTTAAATGATTTTCTTGGCTCTGTTTGTTTTCTCGGAAAATTTTAGTATTTTTCTTTTTCCTTACTGTCTTTCTGATTTTCTCACATTTTCTAGGAAAATAAAAGTTTTTTTTTAATGAACTTAGCGGTGGTGTGGCGTCAAATGAATTTCCGTTTTTTTTTTGGAGGGGTTTGGTTCGGAGGGAAATGGGGAAAAAGGGCATGGTTTTGAGTTAAAATTACGAGATTGACCTGTCAAGCTCTCTGTTTCTATGGACGAACATGATTCCTTGAGGTGGTAGTTTTCAGTTTAGGGAAGGCTGCGTGTGAGGTTCTCCCTCATTCCCATGTGTAAAGTTAGGATTTTCTTAGCTTCCAACCAAAACCTTTAAAAAAATAATAATAATAAAAAACAAAACAAAAGTTGTAACTTTAGTAGTTAAAGCGGTTATTGTTGCAACCGAGATTGTTTATTCAAATTCTCTTTTTTTAATATAGTTTGTGTTAAAAATAAAAAAAATAAAAAGGAAAATAATTCATTTCAATTCAAATATTATATATTGTTGTAAATGCATGGAATGTGGATGACCACCATAATATCCATTACCTACATCCTTAATTGCTTTGTAACCTATGCCCTTATTATTGTAATTAGTAGCTATAAATTGTGGGTTAAATACCTCTATTGTAAGCCTATAAATAGGCACTTATCAAAGATGAATATGATATGTTAATACAAGGTTATAGAATAAATTCTCTGTATTTCTCTTCCTCTTATTGCTGTCTACAATTCCCCTTAGTTTTATAACATATATATACATAACATTTTAAAATTTGTGAAATTGAAATATTTTGAGAAGTATACCTCATCAAGGTTGGAAGATTTATGAGAAAGGAGAAGTAGACATTCCCTTGTGTGATTCAATCAAATCCTCTAGTAAACAAGAGCAGCAAAAAAGAAAGATGTTTATGATTTAAGGACTGCCCATCACATTACCATCAACTTGAGGGCCCACAGAAAGTGTAAAGATACATGTTAAATCTGAGTTTGATTTTCAAGTTTACAACTATAAACCATCCAAATTGGACTATAATCCAACTCAGTGATTAGTCATCACTGAAAAAGAAAGTGAGCAAGTTGCCCCTGAGTTCTCACTGGACACCAGAAAAAAACAGAGGATTCAAATGGAAGCAAGACAGCTATTGGAACAAAACAAATCTCCTGGCTGTTGCTTTTCAATTTTCTTAGTTGTATTGTATCTAACTCGTAGCACGCACGAATGAGGAGAAATTTCGTGTACCTATTGGCTATTGCTTTTGAATTTCTTAGTTGCATTGTTTTTAACTCGTGCAATTCACGGAAGAGGAGAATTTTTGCATAACCGTGACATAAAACATCACGTAAGGAGGGAGAAAAAAAGGAATGCTCTATGTCGTGGTTGCAAGTAAGTTCTTTTCCACACACACTACAAACATTAGGTTGAATTTAAGATAATCTTCAAAATGGTGGTAAGTTGAGATGAAGATCATGTGACCCTACAAAGCTGCAAGCTTTTGTGTAATGAGAGCATCAAAGATTCAAGTGACTATCTACCAGGGTAGTACTTTAAGCTCTGAGCCAATCCAATTCAATCCAATTCAATCCAGACAAGTGTTGAACATAGCCAGATGATTTAGGTCCAGCCAAAATTACTCAATGGGTCCACCCTCTATTTGGTACTTGTCCTTCATAAGCGGAGGTTCCATTTCAGTTCCATCAAGAAAAGGAATCCCAAAAGTGGTCCTAGATTGTATTCAGAGGCATCTTTTTTCTCTTCTTGGAGGTGTTATTGCCTTTATCAAAATTGAATTAAAAGAAAAAGGAAAATGGTGAATTTGTCAACTCAGAATTGGTAAAAAGTCGACAGCTTCATCTGCTCTATTTTATTCGATTCTTGATTGAATGTATGATGATATGGTTATGCTGCTCTTGTTCAAGTTATTTCTTTTTTGTAATGAATATATTCTGCCCTTTTGTTTTAAAGAAAATCTAATCCAAACTGGATAGAACCCACTAGTCGTAACAAATTGGTAAACATCAACTCACTCGGATTTTCCAACAACCGATATCTCTTACTATGTTTTATATTCATCTGTCTTAGGTTGATTGCATGAAAGTCTTCTTTCTATAATTTAACTTGGTTTATTTCATTTGATCCTACTCACACCCTTGCATATCCCGATGACTTCATTCATTTATTTATTTGTATTTTTTCTTTCAAGACATTTATAAATAGAAGAATTGACTAGTTCTAGATTATAAAAAATTCTAAATTAGCTCCCCAACCTATATGACATTTTGTTTAAGCAACACTGAATGTGCACGTCTAACACAAGGAGACAAGAAGAAAGAGAGAAAAAGCCCTCAAATGTCTGAAAATTGAGCAAGTCAATACAAGCTTTATCCTTCTTTTGCAAGTCTGAAATACATTGTTGACTGAAACAAGCAACAGTAGAAAAAGCCAGACGCCACCGCCCTTATCCACGGGAACAACAACAACAACAAAACAATGCACAACAGGAGGAGCAGAAAAACAAGGCAGCACACAGAGACAGCAGCAGAAGAAGCAAAATTGGTAATGAATACTTGTTTCATACATCTCCAAACAAAACTTCTGCATGTACAGCAATCACATGTTGTATACATAATGAGTTAGAACTCAAGACATATGATTTGATATGAAACTAGTCAGACAGTTCCTTGGAAGTTGGAACAACTGGAACAAGATAATTCCCAAAGGGTGAATCAAAGATCCTAAAGTTTCCAGTGGCACCATCTTGTTGTGCTTGTGCCACTGCAGCATTTTTGGCCTGTTGAACCCTCAAATTGATTCCAGAACTTATAGATTGAGCCTCTTGAACCTGCAGACACAACTTTTTTTACCCTCATAATTTACTAGTTATGAAAACATGGGCAAAGAGATTGATGAGTAAAAAATTTCTTACTGTTGTTACTGAGGTTGCTCCAACTCTGCTCTTCTTCTCAACTGGTGCAGCAACATTAACCCCACTATATAATTACACAAGCCCAGTTAGAGGCCTAGGGCCTTTCATTATTCAATTGTTTGTTAAAACGGCTTGTCGTTTTAGAAAAAGATGATGCCTTATTTGTTATCGTTTTATGAAAGGCCATCCAAATTGCATACAACACGACGCTACTTCTTCCCCACTCTCTACTGCCTACTGCAACTAGATTGTCATGAACCGCCGCATGCATGCCTCAAACTTAGAGAAATATAATTTCTTTCTTTCTTTCTTTCTTCCTATGATTGTTTGACAGCAAAAAAGATTCTAAATTTTGTGTCTTTCATTCATGGGTTACCCAAATTTATTTACACCACTAGGCAGGCAACCCAGAGCTTAGCTTTATTCAATAAACAAATTAAAGACCCAAACTTTAAAATACAAAAATTATCAAGAAAATAAATAAACATGAGGGATTGATTAGCAATTACCTGCCAGACAGTGGTTCAGCAGCTTTTCTCCTTCTGGGTGGAGCAGGCGCCATTGTTGGCCGCTGAGCTGTCCCCAGCTCTGACAGAGTTTCTAATTGGAAGACCAAGAAAAGGGCCCTATGGGTTTAATGATACCATGAGCTATGGACCCTCAACTTTGAAGAAAAATTCAATCTGGACTGGGCCTTCTGAGGTCCTTGGATATTGGGCCTGGCCCAAATCAAGGAATCTTAAGGCCTATCTGAGTGACATTGAGCATGTGCATGTCCTGGAGGAGGGGGAAAATGTTGTTTCTCATCAACCAAACAAGTATTTGCATGATTAGATTCTCCACAATGGTCAGTTCTTGAATACGTCATCGCTAATCCCACTCCTAATCCTACTCTTTAAGCACTAATCACTCTTGAAATCAAACCCTCACGCTCAGGAGGGATATCACTTTTGAGGATTTAGCTATCATTACTTCTCCCCAACCCACCATTATTTTGCCATGTTGTGTTTCCTTTTGTCATCCCCCTTGTCAAAATATTTTACTTTCAACAACTGCTTTCTTGAAACAGTTGGGTTGAATTTTTCCATCGTCCAAAGTGATTGCAAATTGAAATCCAGGGTTTTGAACTGCCTTGTACGAATAAACTAGGCGCTGCCAGTATTTGAACAAGGCTTGCAGTCAATTTTTACAGAATCATAAGATCATGTTGAAGAACTTGCACACATAACCGTAATTAATTCACTCACAGAAAAGTGAAAGCAACATGTCTTTGACTTCGTTCATTTTCTTTCTTCTGGTGGAGTTGGTAGTGACACTTTTGGTGGGATATTGATGCAACAAAACCAATGTTGATTTGGCCTTCTCCGATGTGCCGACATTTTGGCGTTATTACAGTGTGGACGTTATTATAAATATGAAGGAAAGTATGAAGGGGTAGTAGAAAATACATTCCTTCATGAGACACTTTGCATATATATATACACTCTCTATTTCTAAAAGGCCAACTTTCTTTTTCAAAGTCCAATCAATATAATTCTCCCTCCAAAATCACTAGCGCAAGAAAACTTGACCCCCCATATCGAACCAAATCTAGTCTCATCATGCTGCAATTCTATGTGGATGAACGCCTACATGCTTTGAAAAGTCACTTTTGGGATTCCTATTTCCATTTTGTCAACCTAAGATAATCTTTCTTTTGTTAATTGGTGATTATGGAAGTGATTGACTAAAGTTTCTTTATATTTGACCCCATTTCGATTTAGGTACAACAATTATTCTGTTCATAAATTAATCTATATGAACAAAGTAATTAGAGCTTGATCAAAGCTTTAATTAATGATTCAGATGTATTGCATTCACCTCAATATATAAGTTAATCACAATGCCAACAATTTGGGGCCACCAATAGCTTGGTTTGTGGGGTTCTGAATTGAGTCTAGTCTCAAGAGCAATCTATACCCATGCAATTGGGTTTGAAAATGCAGCTAGCTCAGTGCACGCCTTTCATTCTTGCATCAATTAAGGAATCCAAAACCAAACTTATAATTATATACACATATCTCTGTTTACTTTGTGGAAAGGAAGCAGATCGTTCATTTTACCTACGGCCCTACCCTAATTTTCCACGTGGCTAGGACCCAGTTTGCCACGTGTATCTCCTCCCTATATTGCCAATTAGTGGGTCAAAGTCAAACACAAAACAGTATTTGTTGGTCACTTGTTTCCCCCTGGATTGTTCAAAAGTGTTGAGATTTTAGACAATTCAGACCCTTGACCTAAAAGCAGTCCAAGTCCAACAAATACGCTCAACTCAAGTAAGCAGAGCCATGGTCGAAGGCCAGCTTAGAAAGGTTGGCTTTGCTTGCTGATGGAATCAGAGATATACATACGCATACATATAGGGTTAGGATCGGGGGACACACAAATTATGATGACACACTTTAACGATTCATAATACATCTTTATTATTATTATTTTTTAAAAGAGTTAAAAAAACTAGGATTGAATTAAAGGTCATCAATGGTGTGGGAATTTGGACAAGAATATCTCACAACCATGTGCAGAAATGGCCCCCACGTGGGATATGGCATGCGTGTGGGTCTCTTCCTAGTGGTTGTGTTTTTAGCCTCTTTCTTTCTTTTCTTCTGTAACAATTTTAGTAAGCTACAGCCTACACAGAATTTCCAACCAAGGAAGCTTCTAACTTGTAACTCAAAAAATATGCTTACGCTGCAGATGACAAATGTTTTTTTGTTGTTCAAGTTTTGAAGGGTTTTGCTTTAGATGGATTTGCGAATGGAGATGGAGATATGAGCTGTGCGTGCGAGACAAGTAGCTGGACTTGTAAACACCCATCTGCAACTCCTTCCCAAATATCACGTGCCCTATGTATATATATATTTCCTTCTTTCTTTCTGTGGCCCTTTTCCGATTTCTTTGAGAGTGCGATGAGTTACATCTCTTACATGCATATGGGGCATGCACTAATGTTTCCTCCCTTTTCCACAAACTTATAATAAAATGTGTTGCCATACAGCAAACCGACGGCTGTACAAACATTGGCTGCGAAGATCAGATGGACCAGATTTTTTTAATAAGGGATGATAATATATATAAACTAAAAGGCAAAATAAATGGCGTAGTTTAGGGTTAGGAGATATAATAAAATGAAGCAAAGATGACGGAGATGAGCTTTGCGGTTGCTCGGGTTGTGCCTTTTTTGAAGATGAGTGAGAGATCCTTGGAAATTATGAATGCTTTCTCTAGTCTTCTTCTTCCCATATATGGGGTGTTGCCACGCGTCCCATATAGTCCATGTTTAACTTTTCTTTTTCTTTTTTTCTTCCCTTTTGTGTTTTGTTTTTGTTTTTTTTTGCCTTTTCATGATCATGGCATGAGAAAAGGAACTTTTATTATTCCTTGTAATGTATATGTGATGGAACTTCATGGGTGTTGCTTGTTGGGTGGAAATCTTAAAAACACCACAAATGTTATTGGCATGCACTTTAAAGCTATCCCATAAAGAATAAAAAGTCAATTTATTTATTAAACAAAAATTCAAGAATTATTTATGTTATCTATTGAATTATGTCAGAAAATAATGCATAATGGACCCCGTATACAAATACTTAATAGGAAGAAAAAAAGTTTTGTACGGTTCAATTTTGAATTACTCCTCATGTTCATCATCAACATATTCTCGTATTACGAAATTTAAAGTCGACCAAGAATGAATGAATACAAATTGGGTCTCGCATAATTCAGGTGGTAGGGCAAAAAATCCTTTGAGATGATGAGGAAGTCTTTCACTCTTTAAGCGATCGGGACATATACTCATTTCTCTCGTAATCACTTATTATGTACTTAATATATATGTATGTGATGAATAATTGTGAAAACGAAATGTATAAATTCTCACGCATCCTAAATTTTCATTTTGGCTGTAAAATAGTAACAGTATATATGTTTACGATAACTTGATGGGTTAGTTGTTGGATGAATCAAGCACTTTTCATTGTATAATGCCAAACTTTGTGCTTAAGAAAAGGATAGATTAAAATCTACTTGGCCTAAGTAACCTTTGGGTGAAGTAGGGAGTCAGCTGGAAGCTATAGCAATTAGACATGACAATTTAAGATTAATTAACAATAATTAAGATTCTAAATAAGTGTACGTACAAGGTTAATTTGTACCAACTCATGCAAGCAGAAATTTAAAATTCGATGCTATATATATTAGCAAAATTATACTCATGTGCCTCCATGATCGATCAAGTGGCTATGCTATTGCTTACACAGTAGCTGCCTGCTGCTGCCCATCACCCAATAAAAAGATGCCCCACTAGGGCCAGTGGGCCACTTGCTGGGTCTGCCGGGGGACCTACTCACAAGCCACCCAATAAGAACCAAGATATTCTCTTAGCACAAAGGCTTCTAGTGTTTCTGTTCAGCACCTGTGCCTTTCCCTCTATCTCTTCATGTATCGCTTTTCTTTTTCTCGTTTCTAGTTTCTAGTTTAATATTATCTTTATACAGTGAGCTTTTATCGAGGGATTCATCAAATAAACTTATTTGAGTAACATCTTTGTATGGCCCATTATACATTGTTTTCTAATTATCTGAACCGTCTAATTTTTAGATATTCTCTCCAAGCTGCAAAAAATCATTTGAATTAGAAACCATTTGATCTATAAGTGGGAATTTGAACTTTGGTGCGAAGGGGAGAGTTCACTGTCCTTGCAAACTGACCTAACTCACATTTGTAAAGTTATTAATTTATATATATATATATATAAACTAAAAATATGTAGTCACACTAAAAAAGAAGCAATAGGCTCCTGTTATAAAAGTAAGAAGTGGTGCACTAAGAAGGGAAGAAAGAGGTAGTATTTTACTCACCACTTTAATTCAAGGTGTATTCTCACCATCATTCTTAATACTTGATACATGTTTATGGGCATAATTACGGTTCCATAAGTACAAAGCAAAGATTTAATTATGGTTATGCCAATAAAAATATATGAAGTGGTTAGAAAGATAATAAGAATATACCTTAAATTAAATTAAAGTAGTGATCAAAAATATTTCGGAAGAGGGAAGAGGGAAGAGGGAAGAGGGTGAGACTTAGAGGGTGTCAGATTGGGTTGGGAATGTGTGTGTCATATTCACGAGCTCTCTTCTCCATATCATTCTGAGCCACCCAGTCAGCACACCCCACCATCACTGCTGTTTCTCAAGTTTCCTACTCCATAAAATTCCAATCTATCTATTTATCCATCTCTGTTTTAAACATGATTTAAAAACAAAAACGCAAATTACATTCGTAGAAAACGACAACAAGGTCAATTGCGCCCAACTCAACAAGACAGAGATAGCTACAGAGAGAGAGAGAGAAAGAGAGATAGGTACAGCACTTGCATGCACACAGGCAGAGGTAACAGGGTCATAACTATAGAAGGGAAGTAAAGTAAAATAAATTTTAATAATGCATGCACTTTCATTGAATCGGAGGCATTTCTGTCTCCTTCCTTCCATCTGTTTGTGGAAACCCAGCGAGGACCTC